CTGGTGAGCAGCCTTTCCCGGCACTGCCTCAGCCGCTTTGCCGGCTGATTCACCGCGCCGCTCGCCTCGACTCCGGCCAGACGGCGCTCGCTGCGCCCGCCTGGCTCCACCTCCGCCTCCCGCGCCGCAGCCCGCCTGCAAAGCAGGGCGACCCCCGGCGGACACCGTCGGCGCGGCAAAACGGCACCGAGGCGCTCGGGTTGCGCTCTTAGTCCCCGGAACACTGTCGGAGCGCGCCTCTGCGCGGACGCAGAGCGAAACGCCGGGCTGGTGGCAGAGGCAGCCGGCTCCTTGGGAGCCTTTTCTCTCCACTGAACAGGATTCTCTGTAAACGCCGACGCTTCGAGCAGCGACACATTCGACAGGGGCAAATTTCCATGGGCAGAACCTCTTTCAGCACCGCATCGCTTATCCTTTATTAAGCCGGGCTGAGCTGAAATCTCGGCTGTTGCCTTGAGTGCCCGGCATCCCCTAAAGCCTGGTATTTTATTTTGTTCTGTTTATAATTTCTAGGTGAAAAGGGATTGGGCGACTTCTACTTCACACCCTCTACAGAAATTACACTGTGACCCAGAACTTATGCAGAAAATAATATTGTCACCCCAGCGACTATTTTCAGGAGCAGGATTCTCAAATACACAAAACAATATAGTGCTTTTAAGGGTGCCATTTTCCTAAATTTATGTCTACGTGACAAACATCTATGAGACAATCAAATGACTGGCTTATATTATAAGTGGATTCTATTAAAACTGCAACCTGGAAGCCTTTTCTTTTGTTAGCAGGGTTTTGTAACATTGGCAAGCTCTAAAAAGCCCCCTAGTTCTTATTCCTCCTCGGAGGTCTTAATCCTCACATATCTTTGCCAGAAGAATGTAATATTTTATATCTTTCCAGGATAAAGCATTGGGGAAGATCCCTAGAGATTTAAAAAAATGCATGTTTAATTAAACCAATCAATAATGGCATGTCTAAAACCAAATAATTACCCCATGTGGGAAAACTGTCACATGCTCAAGATTTTTATGCTCTTCTTAAAATGGCAGCCACTGTGGTGTCATAATGAAGGTGTGGGACCAGCACTGGAGAAATCTAGGTCACCCACAGCCACAGAAGCCCTCTGAATGGCTTTGGGCCAGACACCCTTTCTCAGCCCAACCTACTTCACAAGGTTGTTGTGGAGAAAAATGGGAAGGGATAGCAGTATGTCCAGCACCTTGAGCACCTGAAGGAACGGCAAGATATCAATCAACCAATCAATCAAACAAGTTAATAAAAATGGACAGTAGCAGCATTCAGAAGACTACCTGTATCTGTTCTCCTCACCCCAAACTCACAAAGGCAAAGGATATAATTGTCCTCAAATCAGCGTCAGTCCTCAGCTGACTAGCCTGGGCTCAGGCCTGCACCTGACTGTCAAGTGGAGCTTGTCCAGAGCCTCTCTGAATGCTGGGCCCTCTCCAGCACCGTTCCAGAACTTTCATCCGGAGGCGGCAGATGTCACAGAGGGAGAAAGGCCTTCAAACAGAGGCAGCAGGGGCCACTGGGAGAAAGGCAAGTGCCACTGGGCTAGTTCTTCCCCTTCCAAGCACCCATGCTCAGTTGCACACCTAGGGACTTTTAGACCCTGGGTGTACTGATTTAAAGAAGGGGTGGGGAAAAAAATAAGCATAAGCCTTGCCAAGAAAACGGAACCGACTGTTGGTGCCTTTGAGTCAGTACTGACTGCAGTTTTCTTGACAAGGTTTTTGGGAAGTGGTTTGCCATGGCTGAGAGGAAGTGACTGGTCCAAAGTCACCCAGCTGGCTTCGTGCCTAAGGCAGGACTAGAACTCACAGTCTCCCCATCTCTAGCCTGGTGCCTTTAACCACTAGACCAAACTCACTGTCTCATTTGTTTTAGACAATGGCAATAATGACCAGCCTTGCGGATCACGCTAAGCCAGAGCTAGTTTTAAACTTTTCGTTGAATAAGCCATGATTGGTTGTGTGTATACAGCATATTAACCTATGAACCATGGTTTACAGCCACAATGGCTAGAATCACACAGGATGTGCCTCACCCTACACAACACACTAAGTCACAGAGACCAGCGCTGTAGCATAATTTGTGAAGGTTAATATAATTACCATCTGTAATTATATGCAGTAACTATATACATGTACAGTATTATATACTTGGTCATGGAATATTACTGTTTTTTTAAATAATCACAGCAAAAGGATGCTGCAGCATGTTGTGGCTAGGTCATCCCAGGAATGAACGCTGGACTGCTAATTGTTGTTTTTTTGCTCAACAGAAGGTCTGAAGGGACCTGTCCTTATGGAAGTCATTGAGTGACTAAGAATGTCTCATGAGAGGTCGCAAAAATAACAATTTAACAAGGTCCCAACAATGTCAGTGGTAGTGCAGGGAGGGTGCTCCTTCGGGATTTGTTGCACTGGCCAGTTCATGTAAAACAAGACTAAGTAAATCTTTTCAGGTCAAGAGGATACACTTTGCCATTGGACTGGGCTGCAGGTCAAAGATCACTCAATAAAATGGAGAGGTCACGATGAAAAAGTGGGAAGGACACGAGTTTTGTATTCAATAAAACTGAACAATGTATCATATACTGTAGCTGCATCTCGCTTTCAAAACATTAAATGTTGATAATAGTCATGTTGCCACTACATATTAATTTCAGCCGCAACGGTGATTGAGGCTTCAGGTCTAAAGTAGGCAATTCTAGCACTTTTTCCTTTTTTCTCTGCCTTCTTCAACTACATCCCAGCTCCATCTATATAATCCAGAACTGGTTCCCCAACACGTTTTGGCCAATGGGCGCATCTGGAGTGTTAAAAACATTCTTATAAGATGGTTGCCATGGGTGTGCGTGTGGCCAATCACAAATACTCAGTTATTCCAGAAGTCAAGCACAGCCCTGGGATGCAGCCACCCACTGTTTTCTTTTATAAAAATGGTTCTGCAATCTACTTTCCCAGTAGCATAATTGAAAGTACTACTTATGCTTGAATTTGGTCCTTTGTTCTACAGCATGCTGGCTTCCTATTTAATCAAAAGGACCTGGGAAAACACTTAGGCAGGGTAGGGGTCTTGCTGTGCCAAAGACCAAGAACTTGTCAGTGGGCACTCAGCCACCGTGGACTCCATACCGGGGTTCCAGTGTCCAAGAGGACCAAAGAAAAATATCTTACAGCCACTTACACCTTCCTTCAAATTATACCTTCCAAGTCTTTGTCTTGTATCTCATAATTTTTGGGCTTTCCCCCCTATTTTAAACCTAATTTTTGCCACAAATTAGCTAATGAAAAGTTAAGAGGCTGTATAGTGAGATATCTAAAACTTTAATGCGAGCCATACTAAGGCATGGTTTATTTAAATCAATATTTGCTGACAAAGCCACAATTGGTTGTATTTATTGATTTTTATGGGTACACAAACAGTGGCCTGCAACCCCATTTAGCCATGCTTTTAATAGAGCTGTTGAAATCACCAGGGTTTACATTAGTGGTAATTTAAGCCCTTTGATTTCAATGAATCTACTCAATGCATAGCTATGTCTGGATCCAACACTGTTTTCTGCATGTAATTTATACACATAATACATGAATAATATCTAGCTTTCTCTGGTTTCTGATTAAAGGAGGAAATTGTTCTTCCTCCCTGGTTTGACACAAAATGTTAGCTATATGTGTGCCAACTGATCATGCTGTTAACCTTTAGGAGTAAAATAGCGACAGTACACAAGAAAACAGCTTATGCCATGGTAAATCTGCTCAGATTTAAAAGTGCCAAAGAACTCCATGTTGTTTACTCTGCAAATAGTGTCACCAAGTGACCAAAGATTGTATTACACCTCTTGTGATTACCAAGTAAAAAGGAATTGTCCAAACATCTGTGCTCCGTGCAAAGCATTTCGCTGTAAGGGCAGGACAAGCTCTTCCATTATACAGTGGAATACAGCACACAGACTGGGTTCACAAAAACTAAGCCCTACACCTGCATCAACAAAACAGCTGTTCAAATAACATTCATGCTACCGTATTTGGGCTGAAATACCACAAAAAACACAAGGTGGCAGCAAAAATGAGCTTCACTGATCATCTAGCCATCTAGAGTTTTGTAGAACAGATATAGCTTGGCATACCATGCTATGCCCAAACATAAACTGCAGTATGGCTTAACATGATGGCCAATTCCACACAACATGCTAAGATAATGGCTAGGTTCCCACTGTATGCTGACCCACAAACTACATTTTAGCCTAAACTAGGGTGCTGTGCCAATTTAGTCAGAGAGTTGCTGGTGCCATCTTTCTTTTGTAAAACTCAGCCTTGACTCAGACAGTGATTTTTTTCCCCTTAGGTGGGACTTTGTTCAACTAAAATGATTCTAAACATTTGCAGAAAACCGGGTTGATGGTTTCTTTGGCTTGCTCTATAAAAGTCTCCCTCTGAGCATATGCAGAGTGTTCTATCTTTTATTATTATTATTATTATTAAAAAAAACACATTTGAAA